GCGATCACCTCCTTGTTCTCCAAAATAATGGAATCCATTATTAACTGCCAGCTCATCCGGTACCTTGAGGATCACCAGCTGATTAGTGACCGCCAATACGGTTTTCGTCGGGGTCGATCAGCTGGTGATCTTCTGGTCTACCTGACCCATAGATGGGCGGAGGCAGTAGAGTCCAAGGGGGAGGCGTTGGCCGTTAGTCTGGACATTGCGAAGGCCTTCGATCGGGTTTGGCACAAAGCGCTTCTTTCGAAGCTCCCTTCCTATGAGCTTCCCGAGAAATTGTGCAATTGGATCACCAGCTTCCTTGCAGATCGGAGCATCAAGGTCGTTGTAGACGGTGCATGCTCTGACTACAAGCCTATTAACGCTGGTGCTCCACAAGGCTGTGTGCTATCACCAACGCTGTTTCTTCTGCATATCAATGATATGTTGCTAACTGGTAACATTCATTGCTATGCGGATGACAGCACTGGTGATGCTCTATACACCGGCCGTGCCAATATTTCTCGGGAAAACGTCGCTGAGTACCGGAACAAACTTGTGTCTGAAGTCGAGTCTTTGCTGAACAAAGTCTCGGATTGGGGGCGACTAAATCTAGTCCAATTTAATCCTCAGAAGACAATAGTTTGCGCGTTTACCGCTAAAAAGAACCCCTTTGTCGTATCTCCTCAGTTTCAAGGCACTCCCCTTCTTGCCTCAGCCAGTATCGGTATCCTCGGAGTCGACATATCGAGTGACGTGCAGTTTCGTGGTCACTTGGAAGGGAAGGCCAAATTGGCCTCTAAAAAGCTTGGCGTGCTCAGCAGAGCGGGACAGTATTTCATGCCGGCACACCGCCTGCTACTTTACAAGGCGCAAGTTCGGCCTCACATGGAATACTGTTCCCATCTCTGGGCAGGGGCTCCCCAGTGCCAGCTCCTTCCACTTGACCGCATCCAACGCAGAGCGGCTCGAATTGTCGACGACCGAGCCCTTTCCGATCGGCTCGATTCATTGGCACTGCGACGAGATGTTGCATCCCTTTGAATTTTCTTTCGCATCTACCATGGGGAGTGCTCTGAGGAATTGTTCGGATTAATCCCAGCCGCCAAAATTCACGAACGCCCGATACCATCCACACCATCTGGATGATTGGCGGTCCACCACTGTGCGATTTAGAAGATGTTTTCTTCCTCGCACGACCTCCTTGTGGAATCGATTACCATCAGCGATTTTTCCGGACCGATACGACTTAGGGATCTTCAAGAAAAGAGCGTACTCCTTTTTAAAAGGCCGGCAACGCATCTGCGATTCCCCTGGTGTTGCAGTTGTTCATGGGCGGCGGTAGTCACTTACCATCAGGTGAGCCGCATGCTCGTTTGCCCCCTCTCCTATAAAAAAAAAATTAATCACTCAAAACTCAAATTAGGCCTCTTCTCACGTAACACGCTCAACCAGACAACTAAATTGCAGGCGGTCTTAACTAGACCCAAATATTCAATAGTAAATTCAAACGACGCGCACAATTAACCCAAATTTTAGGCCTTAAAATCAAACACCGTTCGCGCGCAACCGTCTAACGGTCGTAAACAATACTCGAAACGGTTACAACAATAATTATATGATATTGGCCTCGTTATCATGAAAAACAAATTAAGATAACACCGTAGGAGGCGCGCGACGTACCGACGCGCAACAATTTATATTCCATCCCAGTAGACAGAGCCGCGGCGTTCAAGTCACTGGCCTCTCAGCCCACATGGCCGAGACAACGGGAAGCGCCCCCCAACCCCCCCGGGCGGCGTTCACATCACCTCGATACCATCGGGTGACGCGCCGGGTCAAACGTTATTGGATGCAAATTTCAATGCCCATATTAGGCCTAAACAAACCCCCGTCCCGGATATAAGGACTTATGTCCGCGAGCAAATTGGCAAAAGGGATAGGGCCGCGACAGTGCGTTGCAAGACCGAATCTCCAACCAAAATCTCGGCCACCCTAGGCACCCCATCAGATCTTGCAACCTTAACCACCGCCTCAAAAATACCGCCCCAATGGGGGCAAACCGGAGGGTCGAACCTCCACTGGATAATCTTCCTGGACATTGCAGCACCTAAATAAGTCCTGTTACTGGACAGAAATTCGACGACCTCTTTCAAACATCCATCCGATTTCTTTTCATACTTCTACTCGCCCCGGTGTACGCGCACAATTAATCTATATCCAACATGAAGCGATTTCCTCTCGGGTCACACATTCTTAGCGTTTCAAAACTCAAAACGGCCTCTTGTCACTTAAAGCACGAAAGACAATGAATAAGAGACGTTTGTCATGCGGCCGAGCGCTTCGCGCGTAACCGTCATACTTTAAGAATAGCCTCGTTATTACGAAAAACAAATGAAGATAACACCGTAGGAGGCGCGCGACGGACAGACGCGCAACAACGTTTACTCCCTACTAGTAGCTTTTCCAAACATGCAGTTCTATGCTTATGCTTCATCCAAGCCTCAAAGCATCAATACTCAAAACTACTATGCAAAACTTGAAACAAACTGTAACAAACTTATTGCCCGAGGCGCATAGATCAAAACAGATAAATTAAGCAAAATGATAAACATAATAGATGGTTATCTTTTATGTTTATCGTTTTGCTTAATTTAATATTATTATTTTTATTTTGGGGCATCTATATAGTTTACTCATCTTGTTGGGCTGTATAAATATATAATTGTAAATGAAAATGATAAACATACATAAATATCAACAAAATAAAATAAATGCATAAAAAATACATAAATAAATAAAAACCCAACTAGATGGAAGCCCTCGGCAAGGGAGACCAAACGGCCGAGGGTTAGGGGGAAAGGGAAAGAATTTTTTTATTTTTATTATTATATTTATTTTTATTATTATTATTATTTTTGGAAAGTGTTTTTCACTTCTCAGTCCTTGGACTGGCATTCAACTACATTTACGGGGCGAAACCAAAGCAAATGCAGCGTGAGGTGTGTATATTTATGTATTTTCATGAGGTCCTATTTCGTTTACTTCTATCTGCATGAATTTCCTGACAATTCTGCATGTATTTAATATAGCAGCTTTTTGCAGTGTTATGTAGAGGGTTTCCTTTAGGTCTAATAGTGTTAAGTTATGGAGGAGATGATTTGGTATTACGCCTGTTGTGGAGAGGACTATAGGAACCACATATACTTTTTCTTGTCGCCAGATTCTAGTCACTTCATCTTTGAGCTCCGCGTACTTACTAATTTTTTCTGTGATTGTCTTCTGTATGTAGTGTGTGTTGGGAACTGCAATGTCTATCAGGTACGTAATTTTATTTATTATGTCTTGTAGGATTAAATCTGGTCTGTTATAATGGATTGTCTTGTCAGTAAGAATGGTGCGGTCGTACAAGAGCTTATGTGTAGTATTTTCTAGGGTAATTTTTGGTGTACAATTGTAGTAAGTAGTGTTGGTATTTTTAATGAGTGCGTGTTTGAGTGCTAGTTTTTGGTGATACCCAGGAGCACGGAGGCCGGCAGGCGAACGCCCAGCGTCGCCCGACAGGGGGCGTGGCTGAGCGCCCCTGCCCGTGGGAATCAAGGGCCCGGCAGAGCCCCGAGAGTAAGCGCCGTTTGCACCCAGGTACAAAACGGCAAGGTGATTGCCCTGGCAGTGCGATGGCATCACTACTAAATACAAATTTCAATGCCCATATTAGGCCTAAACAACCTACATACTTTAACATTTTTGATGGATTTGATGTATTTTTATAAAATAATGATGACAATGGAACACATAACTTGCCGAACAGTAAGTGGACGCTGTGGCCCATAGACATTATTTATGATCGATTAAGAATCAAAACTCAGATACGATGTCAACCTTGAGGACTAAGATGGATTGCCTCGTATCGTGTAAAAAGGGTCTCGGGTTCTCTACACTCACCATACGAAACACAGCAGTATTAAGCGGTTTTTGCGCTAGTATTTTATGGTAGCGTGGTCCATCTCCGGTTGAGCCGAATCATTTATGCTACAACAATAATATAGCTGCAGCGTGGTTATACAACGTAAAAAAATGATATTAAAGCAGAAAAAAATTGAAAATTGTTTTATCATCAAAACTATTATAGAATATGCATAATATATATAAAGTAGCCCTTATTGTGTAAACCTTATAGTGTAGAATTGTAAAACAATTAATTTATGACTAAAATTTTGTACAATTGACTTCAATATAAATTATTAAGAATAACTCAAAAACTATTGGTCAGACATTGATCAAGAACCACCAGCTTTTAAATAAAAAAGAATCATCGAAATCGGTTCACCCAGTAAAATGTTATGAGTTAACATACATAAAAAACATATAATCGAATTGAGTACCGTCTCCTTTTTGAAGTTGTTAAAAAAAGGCTTTCGAAGCTTTTTTGTTTCTCAAGCGTAAGTGATAATCATGTAAAACCATTACTTCTATTAATTTTTGGATTTCACAAAAATCCTCCATGATTTTCGGATAAAATATAGCCTAGATCATTCCTGGCATTGCTCTCTGGCTGCTCGTGAAGTTTCACCATGATGCGTTCAGCCATTTCAAAGATTGGCCCGGACATACAGAAAGACACATAGAAACTATGATATGCAAATATAATATAATAATAATAAACCTTTATTATATTCTCCCACAAATAGTACATTACATAATTTATCTTTTAAAAACATTTTTTTTATAAACAAAACAAAAAGTACATACATTTGTGGGAGACGGTAGTCCAAACTAGGATACCCTGTGCTATGGATCTCCCGGCTTTTTTTTAGGATGATCAACTTGAATTTTTTTCTTTATTTTTTATTATGTATAGCAGTGACATTTTTTTTCGTTTGCGAGAGGGTATACGCGTGAGCGGGTTAATCGTATGTGTGTATTGTGTGTGTGTGTGTGTGTGTGTGTGTGTGTGTGTGTATGTAAGGTTAAGAAAAAGCTCCACGTTCTTCCAATAAATAAGTTTATTCAAATTATTAGTGACCCTCATCGATGGTCATGGTCATAGAGCTGGGCTCGTACTCGTGGTCGATGACTCGCTTCTTTATGATCTGCTTGTACACGAAGGCCGACTTTTTGGGCGTGCGCGTGCGTGCCGGGTCCTCGAAGTCTACTTCATATAAACCAAAACGCTCTCTGAAATGTTGAATTGCGATTAATGCTATGATTAATGATAAGTTTTCTTGTTTAATTCTTAAGTTACTAAACTAATATTTACTTTGTAAAGCCATCCTGATCGTAAATGTTTTTGGGATTGAGGCGAGTTAGGTGGGGGCGACCATCAGGGGAATAGGAGCAAAGGAAATAACAGTATTTGTTCAGCAATACACTTAAAATTATGTTGAAGTAGAAAAGAAGTTTAAGGGTGTAAGGCAAAGCCTGGTCATGTGAACGCAGATGTTCATTTGTTCATTCATACAGGTTGTAACAGCCAGATCATGTCGTTCATTATTGTAGGATAAAACTGGTGGTTGTTAATATCATGTCGTAATCGGAACTATCCTAAGTAAATACTAAATAAATATTACTAAAATTAAACTAATAAACTACTAAAAAAACCACCAGTGCGTGTTGCCAGTGATGACCTATGCAACTGAGACGTGGTCCTTCACTGCTGGCCGGATGAGGAAGCTCAAGGTTGCTCAGCGAGCTATGGAGAGGGCTATGCTCGGAGTTTCTCTGCGTGATAAACTTAGAAATGAGGATATCCGCAGTAGAACCAGAGTGACCGACATAGCCCAACGGATTAGTAAGCTGAAGTGGTAATGGGCCTGCTATATAGCTCGAAGAACCGACAACCGATGGGGAAAAAGGTTCTCGAGTGGCAGCCTCGTACCGGTGGACGAAGTGTAGGGCATCCCCCACTAGATGGAGTGACGACCTGGTAAGATATGCAGGAAGTCGATGGATGCAGGTGGCTTAGGACAGTGTTTTGTGGCGTTCTTTGGGGGAGGCTTATGTTCAGCAGTGGACTTGTGAAGGGCTGTAATGATGATGATGATGATGAAAATTAAACTTACGTGTAACCTGCGAACCATTCGAAGTTGTCCATTAGACTCCATGCCATATATCCCTTGAGATTCACACCGGCGTCCAACGCATCTAGGACATTTTCCAGAGCAGCACGGTAGTACCTTATCCTGTCGTCATCTATGAGACCAGCATCATGTCTGGTGGACCAGCCGTTCTCAGTAATGTAAATCACTGGGTTGTTGTATTTTTCTTTAAGGTGAGTAAGCGCATTGAGGACACTATTGGGTGCTAGCTATGAAAGGAGGAAAAGTATAAAACAATTTATGATTGTATGTGACATAATTTTTATTTTATTGGACTGGCAACAATTTGTCTCTTCCTTTTACATGTTTAAGTTATTATATACTCTTATTAAAAGTAATAAACAGTTTTATTGTGCAACAAACATCGACCAACACAGGAGGATAGTAGCGAAAGCGTTATTTTCAGATACCAAACTGTCTGTCATTTTTTGCGGGGGAAATCTCGGCCACGCACACTTTCTCAGACTCCCACACAAAAATAATTGTCTGACACTACGAAACTCACACATAAAAGTTAAAATAATACATTAACATTATTTCACACACACATAGATATATTGTGTGTCATAACAGTGTAATGAAGTGGCGCAACTACACTGACAAGTTGCACACATAGTAGAGGATCCGGCTTAAGAAAATACCCCCTCACTCTTATCCTTGATGAAATAATTTTTTTTGTAATAAAATATACAAATAATTTTAAATCGGGGTGATAGGCCTATGTTTTGGCAAGGCTATTTTTAATTAAAAATTATTTAATTAATTTTTTCACCGGTTACGGTTATTCTTTGCTTGATAAAATTGTTCTCAATCGAAAAACACACACACACACACACACACACACACATATATATGTGTGTGTGTGTGTGTGTGTGTGTGTGTGTGTGTGTGTGTGTATGTATATATACCTGCCACATCATGGTTGACTACCTTTTTCCGTGCAACAATACCAGGTGTAAACAGGTAAACTGATATAGTAATTTACCCTCATCCTTTTTCCTAAAAAAATAAATATGCAAATATAGATATTTTTATTCCGAATCCAATGGTGTATGGTTGACTTTTCAAATCGTGGCAACACTATACTCAACCAAATCTAAGAAATACGATTTGACGTTTCACATTAATCATTCCGCAATAACTTTGTACAAGCGTACTCACAATATTTAAAATAACTTTTTATGTAAATCCAAAAAATTATGAAGTTATCTATATTTCATTACAACATATTATATATTTCTTTATCACTAATTCAAGTTCGAATCTTTCAGAAAAAGCAAAATATAAAAAATTAACCAGTGTCAACTTTTTTGCCTGACGTTGTTTCAATTGTTGTTTCAATATTCTATTCTAATGATATATCGCTATGTATCTTACCGTAGTGTTTGAATTATTAAAATTCATTGTTATGCGAATAATCGGTAAAAATATTCAAATAATCAGTAAAAATGTTCAGTTAATCGTATCTTGAATTGCTTTAATTTATTATTTGTTTATTTAAATTTTATTTTTAGAATTGCTTAAATTATATTATGAATCACGAATTAAACAAGTTTATTTATTTTATAACTTCCTACTTTTAGGCAAAGAAATTCATATGCAAAACCGCGCTGAAAAAACACTACGTAATTCCAATCTCCCGCCATTTTGGGAGCTTAATGACTTTTGTGATTTTGTGTTTATCTCATTTTGTGAATCGGCTATAACTTTTTGAAATGATTCTATTATATTCGTTAACCTTGACAAGTTATATACATGGGAATATCGTATACAATAATATCTCATATTACTATTTATGTTATTATCTAAATAAGAATATCCTACTGCGGCTTAGTTTCAAGAAAGCTTGGTAGATGGCGTTTTATACAATGGTAGTCTTTGAGTATCTTTTTAAAACGCATGCGCTTCCGGCACAATAATTATGGATAGGCATGACATAGCCTCATTAATAATATAACATTTTTAAGAGAAATGAAAAATATAACCAATTAGGACAACGTCATATTCGTTCATGAAACGATGACACTTCAGCATTTTGCTCGAAGGTACCCATGGGAAAAGGTGATGCGGGATCCGCTGGAGGAAGATTTGTAGAAAATTGTTTATTAGTTTTCCAATCGAAGAGTACAAGAGAATACGATGAGGAAATGGATGCAGAATAATTATAATTTAAAATAAAAAATGTTGTACAACCGACTTCAAATTCTTAAATTATTAAGAATAACTCAAAAACTATTGCTGTTGTACGCTTCAAAAACGTTACCTCCTAGGATTTTCTCTTGTATCGTGGAGGCAGTTTACAAACATAAATTGCACGAGGACAAACATACAGACCCGGAACAATTATTTGTAGGCCTTACAAATACTTGTTCCGTGCGGGATTCAAGCCCGTGGCCCCCAGCGCAATAACTCATTGCTAAGCCACTGCGCCACGGAGCAGTCAAATTATATTAGTCAGACCTTGATCAAATTTATAGTAGGACTACATGAGAAACACCAGCTTTCAAATAAAAAAAGAATCATCGAATTCGGTTCAACCAGATAAAAGTTATGATGGACTCGGTACTCGGTTGGAACGAAGTTCTTTTCGTAGTATTTTATTATTTATAAACGTATTATATTATTGATTAACAAATACGAATAAATGAATTACTAGCATTTATTAAAGTGAAGCGTCATTTATAATAAAATACTATTTCTTTCATGGCAAGATGAGAAAAGCGTTAGGGGGGTCTACACTACGTCAGAAGGGGCCGTGATGGAAAAATCTTACACTTTTTCTCGCCTAGCCCCCATCCGCCAAATACGTACTGCCCGATAAGGAACTTCGTTCCAAAAGAAAAAAAAACATATGAGTACTATATCTTTTTCTAAGTCGGTAGAAAATAGTGGTTTACAACCCTCTTACTTAAAAAATATTCCTGCGCATATCACAAGACCACCACCATACCACTGCCATTATAATGCTATTGAATTGATTTTGGCCCAAATCAAAGGCTAGTTTTTATATGAAATGCTCTTAATGCAAACATATTATTAACTATACATAAACACACACGAGATGGAAATATCTTATGCTTTGTAAAGAAAATGGAAGGTTTGCTGAATGAAGCATATACCCATGTCACAAAGAACAATTGGGCAAAAGTGGTGGAGAAAACAAAGTGTGATTTTTCCAGACCTATACGATTTAGAGACCTTCAAGGAACGAGCTTCCTCCTTTTAAAATGGTTGGCAACGCACCTGCAACTTTTATCAATTTTTCAAATTTAGCAAAGTTTATCACGCAGAGGCGGGATGGGGGGTATATTCATAGATAGTCAGGCTCTGGCTATCGTACATCCTTCCCTACCGCACATAATAGTGTTCTCTGTTACGCTCTATTTTAAAATAAAATTATTGAAAAGTTAAATCGTGTCAATCACTAGTCTTGCCACGATTTGAAAAGTCAACCATATTCCATTGGATTTGCAATAAAAATATCTATATTTACATATTTAATTTTTTAGGAAAAAGGATGAGAGTAAATTACTATATCAGTTTAACTGTTTACCTGGTTGACAGGTATTGTGCACGGAAAAAGGTAGTCAACCATGCTGTGGCATTTTCTATATATGTATGTGTGTGTGTGTGTGTGTGTATTTTTCGATTGAGACCAATTTTCACCATGCGTACAGCAAAGGAGTGGAATAAGTTGCCAGCATCTGTCTTTCCATCCGATTACAGTGTGGTTGTCTTCAAAGCAAGAGTGAATAGGCTTTTGTTAAGTCAGTGCGCTTCACCATCTTAGGCTACATCACCACTTACCATCAAGTGGGATCCTAGATAACCGCTGGCTTAGTAGAATATTTTAAAAAAATCAAGGAAGAGAATGACTGTAACTGGTAAAAAAAAAATAGTTTTTAATTAAAAATAGCATTGCCAAAACATAGGCTGTCAATCACCCCGACTTGTATTTATTTGTATATTTTATTATAAAAAAAAAATTATTTCATCAAGGAAAAGAATGAGGGGGTATTTTAGTAAGCCGGATCTTAGACTAACAGCCATGCTGTAAGGCTGTAACAACTATGAATACGCATTATAAATGAAAAGATATTTACAATAAAGATAGGACTTTATTTAATAAAAACAGCATCATCAAACTGCTATTTTACGCTGGTATTCTGTGAAAGCGTGGTCCTATCCCAGTCGTATCAACCTATTCGTTCTACACCTATAATATAGCTGCAACTACCGAGTGTTCGCGCGTATCAAAAAATAGCCTTTGACTTGACATCTTTTTATTACATTGAATTTTAAATTTTTTACACCTCCAAAAGACCATAGACATTAATATTTGATATTACCCGTTCCTGAGAGAAAGCGTCATGACAGATGGACAGACGGACTGACGGATGACCTACGAAGGACCGTCTAAGAGTTTCTTTTTATCCTTTTGGGATACGGAACCGTAAAACGCACGTATGGCAACTCACTATACTGTGTTAGCCCTTAATATATCGTAGTGAAAATTTGGTGAGACAGAAGAAGCTTATGAGAAAATGCTGTAGAAATGCGGTCAAGACTATACGATGAAAAATTGTGTGATAAAAGTAAAGTGAGGCTTACAAGAAGTTGTTGTGAGTTTTGACCAGGATTAAAAAAGGAATGCTCTGATAGTTTGAGCACGTCAAAGAATAAATGAGGGAAAAGTGACAAAGCAAATTTATATTGCAGAAGTAAGTGGCAGAGTCGGCAAGGGACGCTCTAAATGGAGGTTTATTGACCTCCTTGGCAATATATTGAAGAAAGGCTAAATTAAGAGTACCTTTAACCGACAAGCGTATGCATAGATGTATATTATGATAAAATGACTTTTATGTTTATGATTTTGTTAATATATTATTAAGTCGGGTCTGTTGTGAGTTACGTTTACATTGATTTATATTATTTCGTTAATATTAAATAATTATTACAATTTCAATATTATTTTGAATATTTATGCATTTGATATATTAATTTTAGTAATGAGTAATAATTTTAGTATTAGAATTAACTTGAATGAATGTAATATTACCCTATGATCCTTGCTGGTCGAAATAAATAAATAAATAAATAACAAAGCGAAAGTCGATTTTAAATAACTAATAAGCAAAATCTAATTTTACAGTCTGAAATGTGCTAATACCATTGAGTTATAATGTAGCTAAGACGAATATTATATTATATACAATAGTATAGCGACTTCAGAATGTGAAATTTTATACTTTTGTTGGCGCAACCAACAAACCTTTTATCGTACCGGGCCCACAGTGACGTCACGCATACATACGTCACACACATGCCACCACCCCGTTCGGGCCTCAGACTGCACCGTACAACCGTAGCGGCAACACACGTTTCTTATATCTTTATTTGTCATATACGATATTGTAAATATAGTTATTAAATCAAGTTATAAGTACTATCCTGGTCTTCTTCATTGACGATCCTGCGATCCTGGTCTGGAGAGAGCTTACCTGAGGAGTACACCCAACAACTTTTCAGTTTCATTTCTTGGAAGTTGGCTTTTACTTTTTATCTAAAGTTATTTTTTACTCTTTTGAGTGGACTAATAAATGAATAAATGTCACAATGTCAATGTCGCCTAAATACTTCCATTTAAAACTTCACACCTATTATGTCAACCTTAGGTGTGGAAACGTTTACTTCAATTGTAATTGGAACCACATACATACAAAAAATATCACACAGTCGATTTAGTAACCACCTCCTTTTATTTTTAATCAGCTAAATAGTGAGAGAGGTGTGTCAGGATCGTCGCAAAAAGAAAACCGTAGTCTCTTCTTACCCCTCTGGGTGGTAGGCGTGAAAATTATGTATGTTTATATTATATGTGTCTTTTCTAACCAAGCTATTAATGTAAAGCTAAGCAACGCATCACACAGGTCTTAAGAAATTGCATGCCTTAAGCGCAAAGCGCGTAGGTATGTTCTACTAGCGCCTAAAAATTAAGATTCCAACATTTTGTCGCATGAAATCGTATCTAGCAATGATATTATACATATAAATGATATAAAAAACACATTATTAAAAAGATAAATGATTGTTGAACTTACAAATTTTTTTTTAAATCAATTACTTGCTATTTTCACTTAAAAAGGGGGTATTAGTGGCTTGTGGTGTGGATTTATCAAGACCGCAAGGCGCCGTAAACACGATAACTTTTGAAAATATCACTTGTTTAACTCAATCTATTTTTTAATCTCTTCGTCTATCATGTATGAAGCCATGGAATGTAAATGGCAGTTTAATTTTGTTTTATTTAGATATAATTAATTTTTTTCGGTTCTAAAATGGCGAAATTTTCGTTGGTTTGATAGCCTTGTGTTAATTTATATTTAAAGCCACAGAGTACTTTACTCCGGCCTCAAATGCCGTCGTGAGTGGTTGTTTGTTACAGCGGCTCGTGCAAAAAATATCGATCGCGAAATACAAAATATTCCAAAAACCAAATTTGATACATACTTGACCAAGGTAAGATATTATTATTATTTTTATAATTACAGATTTTTATTACAATATATTGTTTCGCTAAAAGGCCACAGGATTTATATATAAATAAATATACTTATACGTGTTGGACTTTATAGACCTGAAGGTGTGTCGGTCTGCTACTGGAACTTCTCGACGAGGAAAACTAGATGTGCCGAATAAGGCCTCATTTTGTTAGTTATGATGAGACCTTACCGCCGGACTTGATAGAGTGACTTGAACGTGTACTTTGATGACTGCTACTGGAACTCTTCGACGAGGAGAACTAGATGTGCCGAGTTTGGCCTCATTTTGTTTATTATGAAAGTGTACTTCGGTGACTGCTACTGGAACTCTGACGAATAGAACTACAATTTACATTTATTTTAATTTTTTCACGGTCATATAATCATTATAATTCTAGGATTGTAGGATTTTCCAAGCTTTTTTTTAAATTGAAATTTGACATAAAATGATCGGAAAATTTGAATAATTATAAGGTTTTTAGTGAAAACTTGTGTGTAATTAAATTACTTTAAAAAATTACGTATAATCATGTTATACGTATTTTTTTAATACACTTAAGGCATGCACAATTGGATTTACCAATATTTAAAACAGATTAGATTACAGATTAGCAGCATAATGCTACTGAGTTTCTTCTAGTGAATGTAGAGAACCAGAGACCCTTTTTACTGTTCATTGGATATTCATCATTGTATTTTGAGGTGTAGCCGTGTAGTGTTAGAACATTCACTACCACATATCGTCCCATAAGTGTCATTAGAACCGACGCAAGACAAACCAGGATCTCCTTTTTTCCAGGCAGCAGCTTTTCCCAATAACAATTTAAACGTTTACGTCAAGCAGCGGACTTTTAATGGACTATAATTATTAAATAATGAATGTGGCAGGTAGGAAGGAAAGGGGAGACCTCCCGCCGGGCAAGGTGTTCTGCCCGGGGAGTGGCCAACGCTCCGATTGGTAGTTCGGAGCTATTCTATTTATGCTGATTTAACTTCGGAACTTTGTTAGTGCGATTTAGGCTTCGATGTGTTTCGCTTGTGACGCGACCACAGCGCCGCCACAATGACATTTTAAGAGACAGAGTTTCCCCCACCCCACTCACGTGACCGCAAAGAACTCGAAACGTAGGAAATATAAACAGTAGTTAATCAAATACAACTTACGTTTAACCAATCGGATGCAGATTTAGGCCATTCGTCAAGATAATGGTTTTCTGTCTCAAAATCACTAAATGCATGTTCAGAGAACTTTTCCGTTGCCGAAATTAAAAAGGTGGTATAATGATTTACTCCGAAGAAGTCGGCTGCACCTTTCACGAAGGCCTTCTCTTCATCAGTAAACTCAGGCATACGGGATCTGGGATATCCTTGTTCAATACTTCTTTGGGCAACTCTTTCTGATAGTTCCTTAGGAAATCCACCCTCTTCTGAAAATATTGGTTCTGCGTAAAGGCCCCACTAAAACAAATTAAAGTGTGTCGATGCATCAATCAGATTGATAAACAAAAAAGTCTAAGTTTGGCTCACCTGTCCTTGCCTGCTTAGTTCCGCTTCGAATCGATCTTCTTCTGAGTCAGTTAGCGGCGCCACCCAATTAACACAGATTGTTATGCCGCAAACACCACCTTGACTTGGAGCGAAGTCATTCTTGTAGGCGTGATAAGCTCTAGCATGTGCCATAACTAGATTCTTTGCGCAAAGATATGAACCGATGCCCGTGGCGTTCACTTGCGGAGCGTTTCTACCCGCATCATACCCTTCATAACAGATCTCTCTGGGTTCGTTGAACGTGATCCAATGCTTGACTCTGTCTCCAAATTGCTCAAACACGACTCTAGCGTAGTCTTCGTACCACTCTGGGAATAGAGGGTTCGCTAAGCCACCTAAATCTTGAAGTTTTTGGGGTAAATCCCAATGGTAAAGTGTTACCATTGGAGTGATACCATATTTTACCATTTCATCGATATAATTGTTGTAGAATGCAAAGCCTGCTTCACTGACCTTGTTGGTTAAGCCATTGGGTAATATTCTGGACCAGGACAGGGAGAAACGGTAAGCATCCAGACCAAGTTCTCTCATCATCTCAACGTCGCGCTTGTAGTTGTTGTAAGTGTCCGCCGTGATGTCACCATTGCTCAGGTCCTTGATTACTGTAGGATTATTGTGAGTTAAGTGATCCCAAATGCTTTCGCCTTTATCTGAAATTAAATGTGAAATTATAAAAAGATTTTAGAAGTTCCTATTCATTGTTAAAAAAATGCATGTATACCTATAAAATATTTTCACACATGTAGTGGTAGAATGCAAATGGGCCATTAGATATAATTTTAGATCATACTTTATTGTATACCTACATTCGAACAAATAAATAAATTTGAATTTAAATTCGATTCGGTTTCAGTGTCCGCATTACCTTATGGTGCCTCATCTAAACGCTGTATCGCCGCTAAACGAAACACCATCAGTAGAAAGAAGGCCACCATCTTGTATTATTGAAGGTGAGATGTCTTTCCTAGTTTTTTGTGATTAATGTTGACAGTAATAGTGCAAGATATTAAGGGAGGGAGAGAGATGCTCTTTAAACTAGGTAAGACACATAATTTTTAATTTTTATACTGATCTTAGCTGATTATTAAAAGATCTTTTTGTATAACACATGACAGGGTGAGAAATTATGTGATCAAAGAAGAATGTGGCTTGTAAAATGATGTAGTGACCAGGGTTTAAAAAGAAATGCTTCAGTGGTTTGATCATGTAGAAAGAATGACTGAGGATGTAGAAAATGGGAAAGAGTGACAAAGCAAATTTATGTTGTTGAACTAAACGGTAGAGCCGGGAAGTGACTCCCTAGGCGAAAGTTTATGTACAAAATTGGCGATATATTGAAAACGGGACAAATTAAGAGTACCCTTAACCGACGAGCGTGTACCTATGCGTAGGTATATGGATGTGGAGGAGGCGAGAGATGTGTGTCAGGATCGCGCCAAATGGAAGTCCGTAGTCTCTGCCTATCTCTGGGTGACAGGCAGGAGTGTTTATGTATATATGTTATAATTGTTTTTTCTTTGTAGATGTAATATTTGTACATTATAAAATTGAATTGTATGTCTGTAATATTGAAATAACTGGCTTCTATTAAACTCCAGGGGTTATTGGCATGATATCGAGATATAAATAACCATTTTTTTAATTGTCTATCTGTTTGTCTGACCGAGCTAATCGGCGGAACGGCTTAAACCAATTATGACGAATCTTAACTAACAGATAGAAAGCAATGCCAGGAGAGATCTAGACTATATTTAATCTGAAAATCACGGAGGTGTAATTTTAGAAAAAACTAAAAAATAAATGGTGTTTGATTATGTTAAGGCTAAGAAACGACACATTATTAGATTCCGCTAGATGTCGCTAATATATTTATGAAGGATATAGTACCATCCGCGTTCCATCCTCCCTCTATTTGATATGCTGCTGTAGCTGTCCCGAAGAGGAAATCATCAGGAAATCTTCGTTCTTGCTTCGTTGATAAGGCACTACAGCCCAATAGAAATAAGCTGAAATAAGAAAATCATTCGGATAAAATAGTGACAACTTTTTTATAGTACTAAAAGAAACTAGGTTTACAGTTACAGCTCTCATTACTAAGAGCGGCATAGAAGTAATGACTTTGACTGCCACGTTTTTATAAAAATTGTTACACTCACACCCTCTAAGAATTTATAGAGTATCGTAGACGTAGAGGTGTTTCACATACAATTTATTTTAACAATTTCAAATAACAATGCTACATCATCATTATCATCATCATTACAGCCCTTCACAAGTCCACTGCTGAACATAGGCCTCCCCCAAAGAATGCCACAAAGCACGGTCCTGAGCCACCTGCATCCATCGACTTCCTGCATATCTTACCAGGTCGTCACTCCATCTAGTGGGGGGACGACCTACACTTCGCCTGCCGGTACGAGGCTGCCACTCGAGAACTTTTCTTCCCCATCGGTTGTCGGTTCTTCGAGCTATATGGCCGGCCCACTGCCACTTCAGCTTACTAATCCGTTGGGCTATGTCGGTCACTCTGGTTCTACTGCGGATATCCTCATTCCTAAGTTTATCACGCAGAGAAACTCCGAGCATAGCCCTCTCCATAGCTCGCTGAGCGACCTTGAGCTTCCTCATCCGGCCAGCAGTGAAGGACCACGTCTCAGTTCCGTATGTCATCACTGGCAACACGCACTGGGTGTACAGTCTCGTTTTCAAGTTTTGAGGTATACCTGACGAGAAGATGTGCCGTAATTTCCCGAACGCTGCCCAACCGAGTTGAATCCGTCGATTGACCTCTCGGTCGAAGTTAGACTTACCTAGTCGGACTATTTGTCCCAGGTAAACATACTCGTCAACAACTTCGAGCTTAGTGTTCCCAACAACTACCGGCATAGGTGTGACATGGACATTAAACATGATCTTTGTTTTGTCCATGTTCATCTTAAGACCTATCCGTTGGGAAACACTATTGAGGTCATTGAGCATAGTGCTTAGGTCCTCCAGCGATTCTGCCATAAGGACTATATCGTCGGCAAATCGAAGGTGAGTGATGTACTCGCCATTGATGTTGATACCGTATCCTTTCCAGTTCAGAAGCTTGAAAACGTCTTCCAATGCAGCGGTGAAGAGTTTCGGGGATATGACGTCACCCTGTCTTACACCTCTCTGCAATTGGATAGGTTTCGTACTCTGGTTCTGTACTCGGATAGCCATCGTAGCCTTACTGTACAAGCACTTCAACACTTCGATATACCGACAGTCAACTTGGCACCGCTGAAGGGACTGCAGCACCGCCCAAATTTCGACGGAATCAAAGGCTTTCTCATAGTCCACATACGCCAGACATAGTGGCAAATTGTACTCCTCGGACTTCTGTACAATTTGCCGAAGGGTATGTATGTGGTCTATGGTGCTAAAGCCTTTTCGGAAACCGGCTTGTTCGGGAGGCTGGAAGTCGTCAAGTCTGCGCGCGAGACGTTTCGTAATGACTCTCGAAAACAGCACGTAGACGCGGCTCAGAAGGGAAATCGGTCTGTAGTTCTTCAAGAGAGCGTTGTCGCCTTTCTTGAAGAACAAGACCACCGCACTTCTGCTCCACGCCTCCGGTGTAATGCCACCATGGAGGACGGAATTAAAGAGCTTCTGAAGGACTTCAAGTACCGGTTTTCCACCCGCTTTCAGAAGCTCCGCTGTAATTCCATCCTCGCCTGGGGCCTTGCCGTTTTTAAGGTGCTGGAGAGCCATTCTAATCTCGCTCAGACTGACGTCCGGGATATCATCGGAATAATGTCGGATAAGACTCGCTCTTGGATCGTTATTCACACTTGCGTGCGGCTCCAACGATGACGTGTACAGCTGCCCATAGAACCTCTCAATCTCACTCAAAATCTCAGGTGCCCCGGAAACGATGCTGCCACATTCTGTCTTCAGCTTTGACAGTTGGCGCTTTTTGGCAGACAGATCTCTGGCAAAGACTTTGGAGCCTTGGTTCCGCTCGATCGCTTCTTCAATACGATGTAGAAGTATTGAAGTTGCGTAAGTCCCGCCGCATGCATTTGGAGATCTGTCTGTTCAGTTGCCTGTATGCTGTTAAATCTATTGAAGAATGTAGCTTCATCTCCCGTCTAACAGCCATGAGATTAAGAGTGTGATCGGAGAGTTTTTGTGTTCTTCTGCGGCGGGTCTTGCAGAACTTAGCTCCGACCGCATGGACAGTTTCCACGAGCTTGTCATTCAAATCGTCCACTTCATTGCAGTCTTCTAGGCACTGAAAACGGTTTTGTAACTCGAGCTGAAAGGTTTCGGGACTTTGGATTAGAGCACGAGGGGGACGGAGCGTTGACTTCATTAGACGAGACCTCTCCAACTTAACGTTTAGGTTCAGTGTGCCTCTAACCATTCGGTGATCGCTGCCGGTTTTCACCCTCGCGATCACTGAGACATCACTGAACAGTTGTCGTCTGGTCGTCATAATGAAGTCAATCTCATTTTTTGTCGAACCGTCGGGGCTCGACCAGGTCCACTTCCTGTGGGGCCGCTTCTGGAAGAAAGAGTTCATCATAAAGAGTCCCTCTTTCTCCATGAAGTCGGCCAGCTGCTGGCCCCTTGGGTTCCGTTTCCCTATTCCAAATTTCCCTACTTTCAGCTCACCGTTCTCTCTTGTGCCTAGTTTTGCATTGAAGTCTCCCATTAACACCGTATATTGGGTTTTGGAGGAATGCATGGCTCTAGATATATCCTCATACATTTCCTCCACCTCCTGATCGGGGTGTGCCGAGGTTGGTGCGTAAACCTGTATGACCTTCAGCGAATACCGTTTGGTGATTCTGAGTATAAGGTACGCAACCCTCGTCGACACACTCTCAATCTTTACAACGTTGTTAACGAGAGACTTGTGGACGATAAATCCGACACCTCCTTGGGACAGATGGTCGCCCTCCCGGTAATAGAGCAAGTTGCCGGATTCGAGGATTACCGTGTCCTCCCCCTCTCTTCGGACTTCGGATAATCCTATAATATGCCAGCGTAACTTGTCTATCTCTTCTTCCAGCTCTACAATCTTCTCGTCAGTCCTCAGGGTGCGTGCGTTGTATGTTGCCAGGTCGAGTCGTCGTAGGTGGCAACCGAACCTCCACCGGAGATTCTTAGCACCCCCTGCCCCGCCGTTACCGTGGTCGCCACCGTAGCTAGGAATAGCGGGGCCGCCGGGGACTAGGGGCCGTTTATTTGTCATTGCTCATGGGGGGTATATTGCCATAGTTGCCACGCTTGGCGAGCGGGTTGGCAACCGCAGTTTTTTTATTGTTATTTTGGCTATTATCAGGAAGATGCTGCTGCCCATCTCCTGCCTGTTTCCCTTTGTCGCCTTTTACGACACCCACGGGAAGATATGGGGTAGTGGATATTCTTAACCGCCACTACACGACAATGCTACATATATGTAACAAATCAGGGCAATTTTTAAATAATCAGATTGAAATTTATACATCAATTAAATTATAACCTTACTGAATTAATAAATGAAATAATTGAACTATTTTCTTCATACAACTATTAATTTATGGCCCGATCTACGCAGAACGCAGGGACGTTAAACATATCAGTCCCACCGCGTAACCATAGGTGGTCTAAAACACCCGAAACGCGATTAAATCCCTAAAATTAGTTTCATTTAATGTGTAGTATTCGCTTATTAAATATAAGGAATCATTATGTTTATGTTGTATTTATCCTATGAATAACTTTTACCTGATAATTGAAAAATCAATACTATGTGCCTTTATTAAATACATACCTTAAAACTACGAACAGCTTCATGACATTTATATAATTTAATGACAGACACTGATGCTTATTTAGGAATTGGTGATAGCGACTTATATACTCGTAGCTCAGTAGATGAACGTTTATCTCCATGGGAGATACGATAAGTGATCACTTCAGTCGGTTATCTTAGACAGCTTCTAAGTTGAATAAATATTGGATTAGTGAAATTCTGCTAGTGAAGCTATAATTTTTTGTTATTTTTCGTATGGTACTTTTTTCAATAATATGATGTAATTTATTAAAAAATATTATTTAAGGTAAAAGTATCATTCAAGATTTATTTTCTGTGTTTTGCTTGATATTTCTCATTCTTTTCCTTCCTCGTCCTGTTTTTTTCGAGAATTTAATGACTGTTGTGTAGTCGGAGTGTGATTTATGTCGGATGAATCCGGTGCGTTTGATGATTGTTGTGTGTCCGTTGTACCTGATGATTGTTGCATGGTTTGTATGTGTTGATCTTGGATGTTTAGTGAATGTTGTTTATTCGATGTGTCTGTGGTGTTTATTGAATCCGTTGTGCTTGGTGACTGCTGCGTGTTTAATGGCTGTTGGGTGTTCTGTATATGTAGATATAGCTGCTTGTTTTTTTTTTATAGAAGAGGTGGCAAACGAGCATGCGGCTCACCTGATGGTAAGTGACTACCGCCGCCCATGAACAACCGCAACACCAGGGGAATTGCAGATGCGTTGCCGACCTTTTAGAAAGGTGTAAGCTCTTTTCTTGAAGGTTCCTAAGTCGTATCGGTCCGGAAAATTCGCTGGTGGTAATTAATTCCACAAGGAAGTTGTGCGAGGGAGAAAAATTCTTCTAAATCGCACAGTGGTGGACCGCCAATCATCCAGATGGTATGGATGGTAACGCGAGTTTTGTCGCGATGTGCGATGGTGAAATTGAGCGGCTGGAATTAGTCCGAACAATTCCTCAGAGCACTCCCCGTGATAGATGGGATAAAATACGCAAAGAGATGCAACATCTCTACGCAGTGCCAGTGTATCGAGCCGATCAGAAAGAACTCGGTCGTCGACGATTCGAACCGCTCTGTGCTGGATACGGTCAAGTGGAAGGAGCTAGCACTGGGGTGCCCCGGCCCAGAGATGAGAACAGTATTCCATGTGGGACCGAACTTGTGCTTTGTAAAGTTGCAAGCGATGTGCCGGCATGAAATACTGTCTCGC